CAACACCATCAAAGAAATCCAAAATGCCTTCAGGAAAAAGAGCAGCGTTTTTCCTCTCACTTGTTCTTTTCCCAAGGTATATGATATTGGGTTCAAAAGCCTGATCTGTGCCTTCAGAGCTCTCAGCGGGTCAGATTTAAATTATTAAAACAGAAGAGAAACCGATTGGTGGCTGAGATGATTAACTCTTTTGCATCAATGAGGCCATGGAGCTTTCTGCAGTGGGGGACTGCGCTCAGCGTTTGGGCACTGCTGGCTGTCATGCCTTTTCTCGTTCACTGGGACACATGTGTCCAGCCAAAGCCTGCTGAGGTCCAGGAGAGCCTTCCCATCCAGTTCATGGGATATTTGCAGAAGACCTGTCAGACGTTTCAAAAAAGCATGTATACACTGAAAAATACACCAGAACCTATGAAGGTATTTACGAAGTCAATTAACTGTGATGCGCACTCAACTCCACCAGGAATTAATGGCAATTAAGTATTCAGCCTATATGGGAATGTTTGAAAATCCCATTAGGTGCCCCTCTGCATGCTTAGAACCCAATGCACATTTGGCCAATAACATGGAAAAATGTATATTATTTTTGGATGACTGTGTATTTGTTAGCCAGCCCCCTCTAACAGGGGCTTGTTAGTACAATGCACACAACTCACACCTGTGCTGTCTGATCTAACTCACAGATGGACAATACTGACACAGTATTGCACACTAGGTTTCAGATGTAGATTGAACTTCAAACCTCTCAAATTATTGATTTTTTTTTTTTTTTTTATTTTGGTAATTGCATATTGAACAAAGACTCCACACTGTGCTAGATGCTACATGGGTGTCCACTGAGAGAACCCTGTACCCCAAAGAGCTTCCAGTACAAGTACTCAAGCTGGACAAATGCAGGCAGATGAGAAAAGAAACTTCCTTGGACTGACACCAGAAGTCTACAGGAGAGGTAGAAAGAGAACGTAGGGGTCCTGTTCTAAATCCAGCACTTTTTGCCAAGTGTTCCTTGGTCTGTAAGTCACTCTTTGGCCATAAGACACCTTCTCAAGTAAACAGAAGACTCAAAAAACCACAGCTCCTATGCATACCTGGAAATGAGTTGAAATCTACTAAAGCACAGCACTAGATGTTCAAAGTGAACTGCAACTTTCACTTCAGTGTTATTATTGTGGCAAAACAGCACATGATAACTAGATTTCAATGTGTTTAAGGGACGTTTGGATGCGGTACTGAGGGATATGGTGTAGGGCAGGACTTTGTACAGTGTCCCCCTCCCAGTGTCCCCCATATCCCCCCGTCCCACCCCCCCCCACCCCCCCCCCCCCCAAGGTTCTGCAATCCTTTTATTAAAGAAAGGCTGCTCTGGACTTGCTAACTCAGCTGAAATACCCACACACGTTTACAGAATTGAGGCCAGCCCCCTTCTGGTTGCTGGGCAAGGAGACTTGCAGGGATCCCTGGGAGATATAAAACCATGGCAATCACCAGATCTCACAAAGCAGCAGTTGGGGTGACTTTGTGACCTGCTGCACTCCCCCCCCCCCCCAAGGTTCTGCAATCCTTTTATTAAAGAAAGGCTGCTCTGGACTTGCTAACTCAGCTGAAATACCCACACACGTTTACAGAATTGAGGCCAGCCCCCTTCTGGTTGCTGGGCAAGGACACTTGCAGGGATCCCTGGGAGATATAAAACCATGGCAATCACCAGATCTCACAAAGCAGCAGTTGGGGTGACTTTGTGACCTGCTGCACTCTGCTCCTGGGTCAGCTTAGAGGTTGCCTCACCCTCATTCTAGGAAGAAGCCATCTCTGTTTCAGACATCGGAGGTGACCAGTTAATGTGTCAGGACCCACTGGTGGACATGGCAGCTGATCAGTTAACCTCCGACTGAACTGCTGAGCTGGAAGTCGGCAATCAGTGAGCATCCCCAAGGTCAAAATGACTCAACTACTAAATCAGAGGCAAGCCAGCTGACAGACATTCAGAATTCCTACTGTATAAATGTGCTTTCAGGCAGGATGTGGCTGGCCAGGACTGGGATGAGCCAGGTTAACCACTATTCCCTGCTCAGCCTGGTCGGGGCAGCTCATTAGCCACCATGCCAATAATCAACACAACACTGCTAGACCCTGAGGAAAGCATCCCTGCAGGGTGCCGGTGCTGTTTCTTATGACCTTGCCAGCAGCTTTGTAATTTGTCACTTTTCCACCTCGGAAGACTGAATCACTCATTTGACATATGCCAATATCCAGGGTGCAATTAATTGGCTCAGCCTTTGACATGATCCCTCGCAGCCCGGGAGCACAGAGGGAAGAGGTGTCACAAGGGTCAGAGGGTTCATTTCACAGCCTTGGGAGACTGCTGAGCACAGATACTCTTCATGGAAGCTGGCTTGCTCGTTAGCATCTGGGAAACTCATTAAAGTTTTATGAGTTCTTTTTTAAAGCTTTGGCTTCTCATAGCTTAAGGTCACTATAGTATAGCTCTATGGTAATCATACTCATCAGAAATATTTTCTTTCTACTACACTAATTAGCAAGTGGAGAAACTTAAGAAGCCAATGTGGACTCCAACAGGCCCATCCAGATGATGCATGCTTTTATTTTAAATGCACATTTTGCCATCAGTCTACAATTTATAGGTATGCTCTATTTCTTCTCCAAAACTTTTTCCTGAGATGCTCGTTATCTTCCAGCTCTATGGCATTAAATGAGAAAGGGAATAAAGTGAACTATTCTATGAAAATTTGAGGAATTTATGTGAAACCTTCATACACATGAAGGTACAATATCCTTTCCACATCGAGAAATACCATTTTCTCAGGGTTCCCTTTTTTTCCCTCTGGTCCTTAAGCCCTACTGACTTCTGAGGCCTGGAGGCACAGTCTCCCCTCTTCCAGCACACAGGTCTCCCTGGCTTGTGTCTTGCTCTTTTCCTCATCCTCCAACAGACAGCTCTCAGGTTTGCCAGGTGATTGTTAAGAGCAGCAAATCTTCATTGTGTTCTTTGCTCATTCCATTTTAGCCTTGAAAACTGTGCTGCTGTGGTCTGGTGGCCAACACTGTCCATGTGTGCTCCACTGGAATGGTTGATACTGAACATAAGATGCAGGGGATTTTTACTGGTATCTCCTGGGGGCTGGACTTTTGCTTGTAAGCAAAAGATGACAGAGGAAGCTATGAAATGATGCACTTAAAATGGAATTTGCCATCTGATACAAGTCTCCGTAGTGATTCCTCAGTTATCAATCCCAATCCCTGAGCTGATATCCCTGCACCCAAGGAGCTGCAGTGCAGCATCCCTGACTCCCACAGGGACCAGTCGGGATGAATGATGTGTTGTCTTCACTGCAAGCTGGGACTGAGGATTTATTGCAAAGGAGGAGGGTGGAAAGATTTAAATAGTGTCAGAAGGAAGCAATTAGTCCAGATCCAAAGTAAGCTTGCACTTGCTCTCACATGCCAGTTGGCACATGCATTATCTGCAGCACTCAGCACTGCAAACATTTTCCTGGAAGAGCTCTTATGATTCCTGTTTCAAGTACTTGAGTGTTCATGGATGCTCATTTCTATAATGGTTCACTGAAAACAAGAAGCCTGGTTTCCTTTGAACATAATATGCTAAAAATCAAAAGCTATTTGACCAGTTTTCTTCATATGCACAGACACACACTCACACATACGCACTTCAATCAGACATATAAACATACACCTCTGTGTGTATGTTTAGGTACTAGTGTATCTACATCTACATCATCTACATCTGAATCATCCCAGATCTGTGCTGCAAGTGATTGTTTTGTTGCAAAGGACACAGAATTTTAAAAGGTGTCACAGTGTATGCCACCCTCAAAATAATTTTTTATTGCTCTTCCTGGCTAGGCTGATGGTAGAAATTCAAGTTGGATTTTCAGCACAGTGCTCTAGAGAAAACAGGCTGTGGCTGTCAGTACCTCAGGCATGACAGACTTCAGAAAGCCTCCACGGCAAACAAGTTAGAGGTAGTGTATGTGTTCTCATGGCAATCACTTCAAATTAACATAAGCAGTACCCCATTAATGGTCTATGTCCACCCTGTTGGCTGGAAACAGGATCCAATGCTGGAAGCACTAAAAATCTCTGCTTTGGACATACACTAATTGGAATAAGGATTTCATTTTTTTGTGAAAATAAACTCCTGGCAGCAACAATAACCTGTAATTTCTGACAGTCTCTGCTGCATTGCAAATCCCCTTTTTCATCCCAGACTGGCCTAGAGACAGAGGCTCTCAGTGCAGGCATCTCTAACCTGTAGGTAGCTCTGTCCCTTCAAACACAAAATGCCAGGAGGCTGTGCACAGTTATTGTGATGCAGGCAATCCCTTCTCCCTCAGTCATCTCATTGAAGCTCATGTATCCAAATGAGAGTTAGGAGGAGGAAAAGTTACAAAATTTGAATTTTTTCATTTAAATTTGCTATGCATTGCCGATCAGCTCAAAGTTGAATGTGATTGAGCTGTTGGGATGGGATGCCTCCAAAAGCAAGGGATTAAGATCAGTGTCCTCCAAGATATTTTCCAGCCCGGTGTAGTCCTGAAAACTAGAAAGACACCAATTTAAATCTAGAGATTTAAATCCAGCTTGTGCTGGAAAGTCCTCTAAAGCACGGGAAGAATACTCAGAATAAGCATGCTACAGTGGAAAGAGCAAATTACTCCAGCACTGCTGAGATACAGGTGATGGAGAATATATTACACAACTTGCTTTTTTTTCCTTCTGCTGTTGCAAAGGCCATTGGAGAGAAGGGGAGTGCAGAGGGACAGGGATCTGGTGTAACACCACGACCTGAGAAGGCAAACAACTCATCTTGCCTTTAAATTCCCTCTTGTTCAGATTTTTCATGAGATTTTTCTTCTTACTGGCTCATTATCAAACAGTATTTCTTCCCCTGATCTTAAACACAAAACCACTCTCAAGACAGGTGTCCTCTTCCCTTCCAGAGTAAAGAAAATGATGCCTGGTTTTATTGAAACCAACCCAGAGTAGTGTTTATTATTGAAAATATACAGTATTTTTGAACATCACATAAAAAGCCTAGTAGATACAACTGCTCTAGTTCAAAATGCTCAATAGATAATTTTTGTGCAGCATGTAGCACTACCCTCATGAGGCAAACATCCTCTCCTCATTATTATTTTTACAGTGCTTCCCTTTTATATTTTTTTAAACCCACAAAACATGCTCTGTTGTCCTTCCCCATCCCCATCCTCTTAGCTGAAAAAAAACCAAAGACTTTCCAAAGGCTACTTACATTGTGTCGAAAGCGTGAGGCTAAGAGGAATAAGGATATTTTATAGAGCTCTCTAAAGGTACCGCTGTCCTTTTCCAAATTTTGTGTGTGACCAGGAGATGGTTCTCGTACGGCAACGTGCCCTGTGTTAAACAGTCCAGCGATGCCCTGGCAAACTCCCAGTCTCTCAAAGGGAGAAATGGAGAAGGCAGATAAAATTTGGATTTTTCACACCACCTTTCAGACGCTCTTTTTCTCGCTGCCACACATTCTCAAATGACAGTTCTGCAGAGAAGAAGTTTTTACAAAGAAACAACAAAAAGACGGGCTATCTACACATCAAACTGTCGAAATCATTGGGAATCAATGTACAGGGTGAGATGGGCAGTGTGTTAAAAGTAGTCTTTGTTCACCACAATACAGAATGGAAAAACCCCCCAAAAAAAAGAAAGGAGGAAAAAAACCTGATTGTTCCTGCCAGCGTGCTGTTTCAGACTTCGCTTTGCGAACTTCCACAAGGTGCAGTCAGTGTTGAATCTCTTTCTTCTTCGAATCTGTTCCGCCACCGCCTCCTCAAAGAGCTTTTGCTCGGTTGCCTTAAAGCAGCATCACGAATACGGGAGATGAGAGTCCACAAAAAAAATATGATGGGCACCTCATTGCAAAAGAGAGCAGTGCAGAATAAAGGAAGAAAGTCTGAAGAAAGGGTCTCGGGGAGAGTGAAGAGAGAAGAACCCTGAAGGCCACCATGTGGTGTGTGTATGTACGGGGCGTATCACACGGCTGCGGTCTGTTTGATGCTATGGAAGCTGATTCGTGTGGGAGACGTGGGGATGGACATGGCACGTGCCACACGCACTCGGAGGGAGTGATGGTCTTGCCAGCGGTGCCACCTTTTCCTGGCAGCAGAACGGACCTGGTAAAGAAAAAAAAAAATAGAGAAAGAACACGAACACTTAAATTACTCAGGTGTCCTCTGTAAAGGGACACTAGACAGCTCTGAGACAAATGATGATAAGTGTCAAGCCAGTGAAACAAACACCCACAGCTTGATTCAGCTGCCCAAACCTGTGCATCTAGTTTGCTTGACATTGCCCTGGGTACTGCATTGTGGGAAACGCATGGGTTTCACGTATTTCATGTCTCACACCTGATGTCTTAAATGCCCCAGACCATTTCAAACAGCAGTAAATGCCTAAGCTCATACAATTGAACAAAGCTCTCAAAATGGACGCACCTGATGGAGCGAGACCTTAGAGGGACCTACCCCAGGGCCTGTAGTTGCCCCTCTTCACTTGTACATGAAGGGGAATCACAGAACGTCTACCTCAACGTTAGTGTCTACAACACAGACATGCTGGCCTAATCCCTGTGAGCACCTTGCACAGGCAGTGGAGAGCTACTCTACAGTCAACAGAAGGTTGTCCTCAAGCAGATGTTTACAAATAGGCCAGATGAGTCTTGAACTTTAGGTGCATATTTTGCTGCGTGAACCAAAGAGAGAGCCCAGGAGCTCTAGCTCAAATATAATGTATATAAGCAAGATAAAAGACAGGTGGTAGCCTCAGACACAACGGGAAGGAAAGCTCAAGATACTCCTCATGTAGACTGTAATCAATTCCTGCCAAATCATTGGCACAGAAGACTCAAAGTCAGAAGCTGAAAAGAAATATTTAGACCAATTTCTGGATATTCTTGTTGATCTCTGCTTACTGTAGAGATGAAAGCAGTTCAGAACCCTATCCTAGGCAAACAGGTAAGTCTACAAAATCAGGTGAGATGACTCTGAGCTTGGATTCTTGGACAGTCAATGGGTAATTGTACTCATGACACTTGGAAAGGATGTTGACGTTCTGCTGCCAACCTGAAATCCAGTCAACTTTGAAATAAAAGCATTTTTACATACAACCTCTATTTGTTTAGAAGGTGGGGTTATAAATAACATAACATAGACATTACACCTCAGCTACTGACCCAAAGTTCTCTTCCTGACCAAGAGAGAAGCAGTCAGTATGGTGAAAGGGTACAATTCATCTCCTCCTAAAGGAGATATCCAAAGTAGGCCAGATACTGTGGTCAGATGAAAAATATCTATTTCCTTTCATTAGTTATAAAGTGAGTCTAGACAATCAGCTCTGCTTTAGATTACTGGATTATAACTTTAGCTCAATTTAGAAAATATTGATATCTTACTCGGAATGTTTTTCAGTCTTCAATGTATTTATCTTCACTGCATCCCTCAAAAGTAATGGAGTGCTCTTATCCCCATTTTACCACCGGCAGGCTAAAGCTTGGGTATTAATAGCAGTGATGTTGTTGTAGAGTAGACCTCAACATGGATCAGCTACCATGGCAACTGTATGAGACCTGAGATGCGCTTGCACAGTCTATGTGAAACCCATGCTGGCAGAACTTCTCAGCTATCAGCACTTGAGGTAGGTCAAAGCCGTCCTGGCTGTATCTGTAATCACCACTGGGACTGCAGGGAGGATGGTGTTGAAAGAAATTGTCCAAAGGTGCACAGCCTTTGGGCCTGTCTTCAGATGCACCCTGAAGTCTACTCAAAATATAAGGAACATACACTCCCCAACCGCTCTTCAGACCAGCTCCAACATATTATCTAAGAGGTGCTCAAATGAGCTGATGAGCTCTAGTCCACCCAACCTCACACTGTCAGTATTAGGTGTCCTACACGAACAGGAATGGTAGCCTGATGGTTAAAAACCACAACAGTTTATAAAGAGGACATGTGAAGGAGGGATCTGTGCTCCTTCTCTTACATGGTTTCAGTTCCCCACCCCTTGTTGGTGGGCCTTCAGGGACTTAGACAGACCTGTAGGCTGCAGCACTACTACTTAGAAACTCTGCAGTTTTGTGGTCTGGCACCTACAATCCCTTCTGATCACCAACTTTGTCAATGAAATACACCCCATTCCAGGTTTGTGAGTAGCAACTTGGAAAACGGTTTTGCAAAATAGCAAAAAAAAAAAAAACCTGAAAAAAAATGTGTTTTTTTCAATTCAGTGGAATCCTGAAGCTGAAAATTTGCCTTTTCTATCAGAGCCCTTCCAGAAGGCACAAATTGGGCAAAACAGACCTGAGGATCTCTTCCTTCTGTTGTTTTCTCTCAGCTGTGTGTGATTTGTGCTGCTTGATCTGACACAAGACAAATACATGCAGATGTTTATACTAAGTGCCACACTGGGTTTCTTTCTTTTGATTTTGAATCAATTATTTGTTTCGTTACAAAATAACGGGGTTTACACTTAATGGGTGGGACAGACCTTGGAAAAAAAAGGGTATGGGGGGATACGACTGCTTGCATGGGGAAGAGTGAACATCCAAGCGAAAGAAGGATTGAAGTTTAAAGACAGCACTGCCAGGAGGAGTGTGATCATCATGGGTGAATTTGTGATGAGAATGAAATAATGTGGTTAAACAACAGTGCAGGGGATTTCTGGAAGAGCCTCTCATTATGAAGTAGTAGGTACAACATGCCTCCTCTAGTTTCAAGATGGGGCTTGGTCAGTTTACAAAATAATTTAAATGAGACAGTTGTATGAGAAAGCCAGAGTAATGATGGGCTGACTCAGCCATATGCTATTGCAGTAGAAGGCAGTCTGGACTGCTGACTTACACTGTATCATCAAACTGACCTTGCTGCCCCACTGAACCCTCCTGTGAAAACACAGGAAACAGTGGAAAGAAGACGTGTCCAAGTGCTGCACCTTCCTGGATGCCCAAAGTTTGCAAACCTATCATGGTTCTACCTGGAGCAGCCAAGGGATACTCATTTCTGATTCTGGATTTAAGGGCACATATAATGCACACCCAAAGGCAAATACATGTGACATGTACATAAAAGGGGATCCATCTCATCTGAAAGCTTGCTACCTATTTTTGGCCAATTATTTACACTTTTAATATAGATAATGCAGAAGGAGATGATCCCCCTAAGGAGGTGAGTTAGATATGTGGAATGAGTAAACCCTTGCTCCATCTTGCTCCTCTGAGTACAAAACTAGTTTAGCCAAATGTTGGGCACCTAAGGCAAATGGTATAACTAACATGTAACATGTCAGAGGGGTAATCAGTGTCCTGAAATTATCCCATGGAGAACACGGGATGTGCTCCACAGAGGGATGTTGCCTTTCAAATGCTCATTTCTCCCTAGATGACACCAGATGCTGAAATATTTTTAAAAAAAGTTTTTTCACCCTTGATTCAATTAAGTCCTTCAAAGAGGTGAATTTCTTCATCTCTGGTGCAAAAGCAGAGAGTAAATCTCTGCGTACAGCACAGTCTTGCTAAAGATTTTAATAGCAGACTGTCAGTCCTGGAAATGCAAGTATCCCAGGTGCTCCTACAGCAGCATCTCACTGGGTCTCGAAAAGGGGGTGTCACCTGGAGGGCTTTTTGTGTTTCTGAGCAACTTGTGTCAACAGATACTTACTCAGCCAGTGAAGCCAGATTAGATTTATCATTTGTGCTTCAAACCAATCAAGTCAAAAAGAGTCACCTGGAGATAAAGACGTGAGTCTAAACAAGCAGTTGTCCCAATGGCTTTTACGATAGGGTTTGCTTACAAGCTTTGAGAGAGGATAAAAAGTAACAAAAGTGCTGTCTTCTTGTACAGCTGGAGCCATTCCTAATGGACTGGGCACATGGAAGCAGACTGCACTTACAGGTGTGAGTGTAAAGCATTTCTTAATGACAGAATAATTCACTGCAATTAGGATGCGACCAGAGCAGCAAGCAGAAAAGGTTAAGCTCAAATTCTTCTCTTACAACCGAACTCAGAAACAAAGGCTAGCTTAACTTCAGGTCAGGAAGCAAAAAAGAAAACCAGCTACAATTACACAGTGAAAGAGTAATAGAAAAAAAAAAGCAAAATAGCAACTTCAATCCTGGGTGTTAATCTCCATGAGAGCAACGACGCCTACCCCTTAAGCATCTGTAGAGTCAGTACCATGTCCTAGAGTCAGCATTAGCACATCCATGACATGAAATTAACAGCACTCGCCTGTAATAGCCCAAAGATGAGTACAGGCTATCATCAATGGTTAAAGCTTAACAAGGAGCCTGGGGAATACAAATTATCAGCTTCACCTCACGTACCATTACTTGCTTTAGATGACACAGCTTATCCACGCTGCTGAGCAGAGAGCTCAGTTCTCTGTGTTGACCCTTGGTCTGTCTCTTTTCTTGCAACAGTTACTCTCTGAAAATTACCCTTTTCAGCTCTTTGCACTTTGAGTACTGTGAATAATCACAGTTTCTGAACATGCGGTCAAATCAGATTTACCAAGATATTTGTGCCTGCAGAGTGTGGGCAGTGCTCTCAGCAGGATTGCTTCAGGGCAGTCAGGAGAAAGAATTCAGGTGGTGGGGTGGAGAGAAGTCAGAGGGTGGAAGTTTTCCTTTCCTGATCGGTTCACACAACAGAGGAGTTCTCAGCCTTTCAGATCACATCTCACAAGCACTAAAACCCACATCTGATCATAAAAATTGTTAAAAACCTCTCCTCAGAAGAAGAACAACAACAAAAAAAGAATGGCAGAGATGGCGAGGATGAAAACATGCAGAGAAGGTTTGCTTTGGATAAAATAGACATCAATTTTGTATTGCTATTACTTATGCCAGACAGTGGCTGCTGGCTAATTTCTTGCAGCCATCAATTAGAAATGACCTGAAGAAAGAGCCTTTAGCAACATTAAAAAATCAGTTTTCAGAAGAAATGTCATGTCCTATTAGCAGAGAGGAAGAAGTTTGATCCATTAACACAGTGCTTGGAACAAAGGGGCCCATTCACTTGGGGTTTCTTGACGTAATACTAAAATATAATAATAGCAATGCAGGTAAAAGGAAAGGTCTGATAAGAAGAGTAGGATTAAATGAGCTTTCATGGTAACGGAA